TTGTGCCAAAACGGCGTGCCGGGCCCCCCATGCCTGCCACAGTTATGGCACAACCTATCGTTGGCATGGCGCATAAACCATATACGGATCCATACCGCGAGGAAGGGAGGGGTATTGGGCTTTTCCGTCTGGGTTTGATACGGCTCCAGAAGCCTGCTTAATACCTGCTGACGCAGTCCCCTGATCCGCCAATTGGGTTTAGGGTTGAAGGTTTAAGGGTTAGGGGTCCAGGCATGTTCAGGTACACCAAATTTTTTCAGCGGTGTTAGAGCGTGGCACATAGGCTGAAGAGTGTTGCTCAAAGAGGGATACAGCCGCTGCTGGCAAAGTGCACCTCGGCAACAAAGGCGGACCCAGATGTCAACACACAAAAGCCCTCCCTAAAGGCATGACCCTAAACCCCTAAACCCCTAAACCCCAAGCCCTCCAAGCCGTAGTTTGCCAAAGTTGCTGAAGGAAAGAGGAGGATGCCGACATGAGCCCGGATGGGCATGAGCAGGCGGCGCTTGAGGACCCTGTGAACACGTTGTTGCCACAGAAAATGTGTCGAAGTCAGGTTCAGGCTTTTCTTTTCTCAGAGCCCTAACTAACCCTAAGGCCTAAGGCCTAAGGCCGAAGGCCTAAGGCCTAAGGCCTAAGGCCTAAGGCTTAAGCCCTAAGCCCTAAGCCCAGAACCCAGAACCCTAAACCCAGAACCCTAAACCCTAAACCCTAAACCCTATCCCCTGCACCCTCAACCCTAAAACCTGCGCCCACAAGGACGCGGCACAGGAGCAGAAGGAGGAGACCGCTGCCGAAGACGAGAAGGCGAACAATGACAAAATCCAGGCCCTCAGCCCGGTTTGGGATTTTAAGGGTTTGAGGGTTTATGTAAGGGGTTTTAAGGGTTTATTTAAGGGGTTTTTAAGGTTTAAGCGCTTATTCGCTTATTCCAGTGCTTCAGGGTTTAAGGTTTTTTTTTCAGGGTTCAGGGTTTATTTACGGGTTGAGGTGTTCATTTCAAGTTTTAATTGAAGGGTTCTTAAGGGAGGGGGGTTCAAGGGGGGTAGGTACCTAATTGAAGGGTTCTTAAGGGAGGGGGGTTCAAGGGGGGTAGGTACCTATGGAACCTTAGGGAAGTGGGGAGTGGGTTTAGGGTTTAGGGTTTAGGGTTTAGGAACCTCGGGTTACATGCCCCCCTTGAACCCCCCCTCCCTCAGGGACTCCCATAATCCAAGTGTTCATGAAGGGTTTCAGGGTTTGAGTGTTTCAGGGTTTAAGGGTTTCAGGGTTCCAGGGTTTAAAGGATTTAACGGGTTTTAAGGGTTTAAAGGGTTTAAAGGGTTTAAAGGGTTTAAAGGGTTTAAGGTGTTTAAGGTGTTTAGGGTCCAGGTTTGGGGAGGTGTTTAGGGTCCAGGTTTGGCGTTTTAGAGGTAAGGCTCTAGGGTCTGAGGCTCAGGGTTCAAGAGTGTTCGGGTGTCAGGGTTTAGGGTTTAGGGTTTAGCGTTGAACCCTGAGCTCTAAACCCTCAGGGTGGTGGGTGGTCTTTCTGTTTACCTTGAACCTAGGTTTGAACATGCTTGGAGGCTCATGGGTAGCTATAAGTAGGTGTAGAATTGTGGAAACTGTACTCAGTGTTGGTCTCGAATTAATATTCCCCCACCCCCCCCCGTCTCACTTGTTTTTTGTTTCCGCCCCGACCCCCTATTGAGAGGGGGGGGTTGGGCTGTCCCGAGCCGCCCCCAAGTCCTGACCTACCCAAAAGGGCCCGTAGAAAAAAAAATCGGAACCTGGGCCGGGATTCCTTAAGGGGGTGTCTAATTGAGCTCCGGGATTGCGATTCCTTAATTGAAGGAGGGTTTATAAATCTGAGGTTAACATTATAAACCCTATTGAGGTTACATATAGCCCTGCTTATGGCTTCCCATGAACCTCCAAGCAATATTGCTACTAGCTAATGGGGAGTCTAGCCACGAGGCAGTGGGTACGCAAGGCTAGCAATCTACCAGGGCCATGTTAAGGGTGCTGGGGTTTTAAGAATCTGTGGTGCTTTCCTGTAACTTTAGATCCTGAGCCTTTGGGTGTTTCTTGGGTTTCTTAGTAAGGCAGCCAAGAGTTAAGTTTTCTAGCTGCCCTACTAAGTGCAGCCAAGAAGAATCTTGCTTGCAGACCTTGCGGCATGTCCCCGAACTATTCTTGTGTGTAATTTATTTGTCGATTTTTGTCGTCTGCCTCTTGGGATGTTCCCCCTTATTCTAGCAGTCCTGAATAGGGAGTATAACAGGGGGTACTATAATCCCTCTGTCATTTGCCTGACATATTTTCTGTCATTTTCGAACAGTCATTTTTGGCTATTGTCTTTTGCCATGTTCTTTGTTGTTCTTCTTCCTGGTTGCTGCTTCTGCCTTGCCATCTTGTTGTCGCTCATCGTTCGATTGTCGTATTCTCTGCGCTTTGAACCTTCCACGCCGGTAAAGTTCCTGAACGCCCGGAACCCCTAAACCCTAAACCCACAATAACACCTAAACCCAAAAGCCCCATCCAGAACCCCTCAACCCTGAACCCTTGAACCCTTGAACCCTTGAGCCCTTGAACCCTCTGCCTCCTGGCCGACAGGGGCACGGAGAAGACAAGAGTGTGACACAAAGCCGCGTCGCGCCAACACTCCAAGACCCAACGGCAAGCCCAACGACACAGAAAAATGACACAAAAAAGGAAGAAGCCGAAGCGGAATGACAAGAATGACAAGGCAACTGACGAAAAAACATGATTAACCGACAGACAAGTCGCAGAAAACCTCTCCGAAAAGCCGAGTCAAGCAATATGGGCACTCCAACAGACCAAACTTGAAACATGTTTCGCATGCATTTTGGTTGAGAATTGGCATTGGTACATAAACAGTACTAAATTCTGGCTCAAGCTGGAAACTTCTTTTTTCATCATAACAGGAATATGTGGATCAAACAAGTGGGGGCGGGGGGGGGGTCAAGGCGCCCAACCTGAGACTATAGGGTTCCTAAAGGGAGGCTTCAAGGGGGGTATGTAACCCAAGGCTCCCTAGTACTCCCTACTACTCCCTAAGGCTCCCTAACCTTCCCTAAGGTTGCCTCCCAAGGTACCTACCCCGCTGGAACCCCCCCTAAACCCTAAACCCTAAGCCCTAAGCCCTAAACCCTAAACCCTAAACCCTAAACCCTAAACCCTAAACCCTAAACCCTAAACCCTAAACCCTAAGCCCTAAGCCCTAAGCCCTAAGCCCTAAGCCCTAAACCCTAAAACCCCAAACCCCAAACCCTAAACCCTAAACCCTAAACCCCTTAACCTCCCTTAAGAACCCTATATTCTGAGAGCCACAGCCGGCATGTGCAGGATGCCGGGCCCAACTCCAGCAGCAAGAAGCACAAGGCCCCCCCGCGCATTTTTTTAGCTTGGGAGGTGCATGGGTAGTGTGAGGGGGTACGGTTTAGGGTTTAGGGTTTGGGGTTTAGGATTTAGGGTTCAGGGTTCAGGGTTCAGGGTTCAGGGTTCAGGGTTTGGGGTGGTAGTGGTAGCGGTAGCGGTAGTGGTAGTGGTAGTGGTAGTGGTAGTAGTAGTAGTAGTAGTAGTAGTAGTAGTAGTAGTAGTAGTAGTAGTAGTAGTAGTAGTAGTAGTAGTAGTAGTAGTAGTAGTAGTAGTAGTAGTAGTAGTAGTAGTAGTAGTAGTAGTAGTAGTAGTAGTAGTAGTAGTAGTAGTAGTAGTAGTAGTAGTAGAGTAGTAGTAGTAGTAGTAGTAGTAGTAGTAGTAGTAGTAGTAGTAGTAGTAGTAGTAGTAGTAGTAGTAGTAGTAGTAGTAGTAGTAGTCGTCGTCGTAGTAGTAGTAGTAGTAGTAGGAGGAGTTAGAGTAGGAGTAGCAAGACTAGCGAGAGTATTAAGATTCGTAAGAGTAGCAAGAGTACGAAGAGTATGTCGAGGAGCAAGAGTAGGCGCAGTATATCCCTGAACCCTGAACCCTAAAGCCTAAGCCCTAAGCCCTAAACGCTAAACCGTCAACCCTTGACCCTCAATCCTGAACCCTAAACCCTAAATCCGCAACCCTAATATCCATGGCCAGGTGAATGTTCCAACCACCTTCGAGGAGCCTCAGAGCGAGCTGCTCCGGATGTTGGGTTTTCGAGGGGGGTGGAGACAAGTAGGGTTTAGGGTTTAGGGTTTAGAGATTCGGGATTTAGGTTTAGGGTTTTTACGGGGCCGTGCCTGAAAGCCAATGAGGGCTTTGGTGGTCATGCCCGAGCCAAGCTCCGACTGCAAGGTGTCTAGGATGCCCATTCCTTTCGCTACTCACGGGTTCGGCTACTAATCCCCCTCTATAGGGTTTAGGGTTAGGGTTTAGGGTTTGGGGTTTAGGGTTTGGGGTTTAGGTTTAGGGCTGAGGGGACGGGTCGGGATGTAGGAGATGTTTCTCTTCAATGCGGCAGTGATGGGCTTCGGCGAGAGTGACTGGATGAACCTCGGCATCACCCACGCAGGTCGCATATAGAGCTCGGAATAATTTCTAATCGTTATAGTACACTTATATAGGGACCATAAGGGAATACTATTAGTCTAACGACGAACGAGAGCCCCAAAACCTGTTGAATTATTTAGGCTCTTGCGGTACGCGTTAAGTCGAGTTCTGTAAGACATACCCAGACACTCCATTATTACGTTAGGGGGACGATTTTCCGAGGTGACTTGCAGTACGGATCCCAATATGATCTCAGGATGTTCCTTAACAGTTCCTTAACTAAGAAATGTTGGAGTCGGGGGGTGCGGTTTGTGCAGCAAGAGAGTGCCACGCGAGCGGTTGAGTGCTTGGCTCCTCAAACGTACCTCAGACCGTAGTCAGGTTGAATCACGTGCCCTACTTGGTAGCCCAGTGGTACCCTTTACCCTTTGTTTTGCTCCGGGTTCCCTTATACAGTAACCAACCAAAAAAGGGGTGCCCTCATGATAATATGGTTACTGGGCTACCAGGCCTATGTAGCCCCCCTTTTTTAAGCGGGGCCTTCCCGTAAGGGGGCCTTCCCTTTAAGGGTTGTAAAGGGTGCTTGGAGGTTCATGGTACTTACTAACCACTTATAACTGGGCTTATAACCCTACTTATAATTGGGATAACCCCTATAGGGCCCTTTAGGGGTATTATAAGTAGGGTTAAACGTACAGTTATAATTGCCATGAACCTCTAAGTGGGGGCATAAGTTGCTTAATTCCCAAAGTTCGCCACTAAGAACTACCTAATTTAAATGGAAAAATAGAAAGGCTCAGGGGCTCAACAAGCTTTCGGAGTGGGAGCTTTGGGGGCAGGGTTTAGGGTTTAGGGTTTAGGGTTTAGGGTTTAGGGTTTAGGGTTTAGGGTTTAGGGTTTAGGGTTTAGGGTTTAGGGTTTAGGGTTTAGGGCGGGGGGTACTGCTTCTGGGGAAATGGGGCTTAGGGTACGTATCATTTGTTGCTTGTGCCGGGCTTTGCGGACCTGGGTCTTCGACTGAGCTTGCAAGGTTCAGGGTTTTAGGGTTTAGGGTTTAGGGTTAGCCCTGAAACCTTAAACCGCCAAACTTGGGATGCTTCCCCTTCTACTAACCGCCTTTTTTTGGATTTTAATAGGGGGGACGAACATCCGTATTACGGACTGTTCGCAAACCCTAAAACTGAAACGCAAAAACGCGCCTTAAAGCCTTTGAAGCCCCTTCAGCCCCGCAAAGCCCTTTAAAGCCCTTCAAAGCCTTTCAAAGCCCTTCAAAGCCCTTTAAGCAAAACCCTGAATCCCAAGATAGCAGGCCTAGCGCATAAAAACCTAGGCCGAGAAGCGCCTAACTTTGCTGGCAAGGGTTTAGGATCCAGGGTTTAGGGCTCGAGTTCCCAGGGACTCACATAAGGAATATTCCTGAAAATATAAAAAGGGTTCCTTGCACCGTAAACCCTCAACCCTACAGTAAACCCTAAACCCTAACCCTAAACCCTAAACCCTAAACCCTAAACCCTAATTCCTAAACCCTAAACCCTAAACCCTAATTCCTAAACCCTAAACCCTAAACCCTAAACCCTAAACCCTAAACCCTAAACCCTAAACCCTAAACATTCCTTAGCTAAGCAGTAATGGACTCCCTGGGTCCGAGGAAGATCATCCTCCGGCAGTTTGATGCCATCGCGACCGGCTGCGCCAACTCCTTCCGACTCCAGGCCACCATGCCGGGGCTTGCGGTTAAGGGTTTGGGGTTTAGGGTTTAGGGTTTAGGGTTTAGGGCTTAGGGTTTAGGGTTTAGGGCTTAGGGCTTATAGGGCTTAGGATTCAAGTAAGTCTCCCCTGTGATTGTGCGAGATATTTCCTGTTTGCTGAAACGAGACCCCAGGCAAGAACAGCCACCAATCGGATCAAGCGCAACCCGAAGCCCTGAACCATTGGGTCATGGATCAAGCTTTGTTTATATTGCTGTTTTTGGTGAGTGGTTCCTCATAAGCCATAAGTGTTGGTAAGAGTATAAAGTGGGTGTTCTGATAGGGATACAAGCAACATAAACCGTACTTCAACGTCATGTTGACAAGGAGTCCTTACCCCAAAGCCCAGACCCCCTAAAGCAGGTGCACAGCGAGGAGGGAGCCTCACAGAACACTCAGCCACCCATGTTTAGGGCTTACGGGGGCCGGAAGAATTAGTAATAGTATTCCCGTGTGGTCCCTTTAGAAGTATACTATAGTCCACCCCCTCCCCCCCCCCCCTCCCCCCGAACCCTACTCTAATTCTTCTAATTCTTTAGGCCCCTAGTACCTAGAGAAGGGCTTTAGGGTTTAAAACCCTATTCTAATTCTGTTTGGCCCCTAGTACCTAGAGCAGGGCTCTAGGGTTTAAAAAGGGTTTAGCGTTTTTGTAGGGTTCCCCCAGAACCCTACTCTAATTCTTTAGGCCCCTGGAGTGGGCTTTAGGGCTTAAAAAGGGTTTGGCGTTTTTGTAGGGTGCCAATAGCGGCTCTTTGGGGATGTTGGCGTGCTGTCGGACAGGAGGAGTGCGACGTGCTATCCCTCGTCTTGGCAAAGTGCAAGGAGTCATGGGATGAACCCTAAACCCTAAACCCTAAACCCTAAACCCTAAACCCTAAAGTAGCCCTAAGGTTGTACCCCTAACGTGCTCCCCTTAGATATGGTCCCTTTTGCTACCTTAAGGATCTGTTTAAGAAGGTCCTCAAAACCTAAGGGTGCAACCTGAAGGGTCCAAGGTACAACCCATGGACAGGAGAGTTGCAGGGCTTCCTGGGTGGTATGTCGGGGGGGGGGGGGGGGGGGTGCAGAATGAGTCTATGTCTAATCTATCTTGTACGGCCTGTATTCGACTTTTCCCCATATCTTATGTGCACATGTGCATATATACATCTACAGATAGAAAAGCATTGGTGCATAATGTGTTTGTCTGTTGCAAGTATACAAAATTCAGTAACCCGCTCACTGACTAACTAGCTAACGAACGAACTATCTGTCTATCTGTAAGTCTATCGCTCTACTCCCTAATGCCTTGAGCTCTCAATCCTCAACCCTCAATTGATGAAGAGACCTTAAATCGACCTATGATTCATGGTCGATTCCTGGGGCCCTGAACCCTCAAACCTACAACCCTGAGCCCTACACCCCTAAACCCTAAACCCCCTAAACCCCTAAACCCTAACCCCTAAACCCCTAAGCCCTTAAACCCCTAAACCCCTAAACCCTAAACCCCTAAACCCCTAAACCCTAAACCCCTAAACCCTAAAACCCTAAACCCCTAAACCCCCAAACCCCTAAACCCCTAAACCCCTAACCCCTAAACCCCTAAACCCCTAAACCCTAAGCCCTAAACCCTAACCCCTACCCCTAAACCCTAAACCCTAAACCCCAAGCCCTACACCCCTAAACCCTAAACCCTAAATCCTAAACCCTAAACCCTAAACCCTAAACCCTAAACCCTAAACCCTAAACCCTAAACCCTAAACCCTAAACCCTAAACCCTAAACCCTGACCCTAAACCCTAGACCCTAAACCTTAAACCCTGATCTTGGGGCCTGTCAGTCCGAAGCTCTGCCATAGCGCAGGAGACGGTAAACCTCCCTGAGTTCAAGCCGCCCGGCTTTTGGGGTTTAGGGGTTCAGGGGTTTAGGGTTTTAGGGTTTTAGGGTTTTAGGGTTTTAGGGTTTAGGGTTTGGGGTTTAGGGGTTAAGGGGTTTAGGGGTTTAGGGTTTAGGGGGTTTAGGGTTTAGGGGGTTTAGGTGGTTTAGGGGTTTAGGGGTTTAGGGGTTTAGGGGTTTAGGGGTTTAGGGTTTTAGGGGGTTTAGGGGTTTAGGGTTTAGAGTTTAGGGTTTTGGGGGTTTAGGGTTTAGGGTTTTTAAGGTTTAGGGGGTTTAGGGTTTAGGGGGTTTAGGGTTTAGGATTAGGGTTTTAGGGTTTTAGGGTTTTTAAGGTTTAGGGGGTTTAGGGTTTAGGGGGTTTAGGGTTTAGGGGTTTAGGGTTTAGGGTTTAGGGTTTTTGGGGTTTAGGGTTTTGGGGGTTTAGGGGCTTAGGGTTTAGGGTTTTGGGGGTTTAGGGTTTAGGGTTTAGGGGTTTAGGGTTTGGGGTTTCGGGCAAGAGGTTTCCTACTCGGGAGGCTGCTCTATGCATGCGCCATGTTCCCAGTTTTTTGGGTTTGGGGTTTAGGGTTTGGGGTTCAGGGTTCGGGTTCGGGGTTTAGGGTTTAGGGTTCGGGGTTCGGGGTAGGGTTCCAGAGCAGCTTTGTCAAGGTATGGGCAAGTCGCCGAAGCGTGAGCCCTTCTTTCGGGTTTAGGCTTAGGGCTTTTAGGGTTCAGGGTTTAGGGTTCAGGGGTTAGCCTTCAGGGTTTAGAGTTAGGGTTCAGGGTTCAGGGTTCAGGGTTCAGGGTTCAGGGTTCAGGGTTCAGGGTTCAGGGTTTAGGGTTTAGGGTTTAGGGTTTAGGGTTTAGGGTTTAGGGTTTAGGGAGCTGCAAGGCTCCGCTGTAGAACAGGTACCGCCAGAGGGACCCTTGCGTAGGGAGCTGCCCACTGTGGGGGTTCGAGCTCTGAACTCCAAACCGCCCCAAACCCTAGCCAGGGTTTAGGGTTTAGGGTTTAGGGTTTTAGGTTTTAGGGTTTAAGTTGGGATGTTTTGTGGCTTCACATGACACGATGTTGTTGGAAGATCTTGGCTTGTGCGCCTAAAGGTTCGTGGTACTTACTGACGGTCTTTGGCCGTACTTATAAGGGTTTACAGTTTAGATTAGGGTTTAGGGTTTAGGGTTTAGGGGGTGCCGGGTTTGGGGTTTAGGGTTTAGGGTTTAGGGGGTTTAGGGGGTTTAGGGTTTAGGGTTTACGGTTCAAGGTTGGCGTACTGATAACTGTACTTCGAACCATAGTGGGGCACTTAAGGGGCTTATAAGTACAGCTACAAGTACAGTTATGTATAATTCGTTAGTAAGTACTATGGGGCTTAGAAGTACAGTTCTAAGTACAGATTTATTAATTTATATAATTCGTTAGTAACCCTAAACCCTAAAGCCTAAACCCTACACCCTAAACCCTAAACCCCCATAGTAAGTACCATGCACCTCCAAGTGAAGGTCCGTTCTCCTGGCAGCTCTGCGCTCGCTGGTCCCGAAAGACTGGGCCCGCCGGACGCATCGGGATGGGGCTTGGGGGTTTAGGGGTTTAGGGTTTAGGGTTTACGGCCTAGGGTTTAGGGTGTAGGGTTTAGGGTTTAGGGTTTGGGGTTTAGGGTTGGGGTTTGGGGTTTAGGGTTTAGGTTGGGATGTTCCCCCCCTTATATAACAGTCCTACTATCATCCCTCTTGAGGAGGAACATCCCAAGGTGTAGGTGCGTTGTCGTTCGGCCGCTACTCTCAGACCAACTTGGGTGGCTTGTAAAGGAGGGGAGCCCCGACTTCCGCGGCGCCCACAACCCTAAACCCTAAACCCTAAACCCTAGACCCTAGACCCTAGACCCTAGACCCTGGACCCTAGACCCTCGACCCTCGACCCTAGACCCTAGACCCTAGACC